GAGATAAAAGATTGTATGGACACAAATGAGTGATATGATCCTATAAAATATATATAGTGGCATAAAAAGGTCTATTAATTAATGGTAAAAAAACTAAAATTATGTTTAGTTAAGCTGGATTTTTGGTAAGTGGTATTCTCATTTAATCAAATGAAAAAAAAGAGGAGATCAAATCAGTGTAACATCTTTAAAAATTCATTTTTATATCTCATATTTTTAGATTTCACTTGTATTAAAAAGGGATAAGGGTCTGAAAAACACCCAACTTTGGTCGAATTTGCTGTTGCGATACTAAATTTTCATGAGGATCTATTACCTCCCTAGATTATTTAAATACCGTATTATAAACATATATATTTGTCCCACGTGGACATAAAAAATAATGCAAAATTATAAATAGTAATGTGTCCACGTGGACACATATATACCTTTAAACTACCCTCTTAAATAGTTCAGAGGGTAAAAAAATACGGTATTAAATAGTCTAGGGAGGTAATAGGTCCTTATGAAAGCTTAGTATCGCAACAACAAATCCGACCAAAGTTGGGGTATTTTTCAGACCTTATCCCTATTAAAAACTAAGCAAGTTAACAATTCTACCCTTATTTAATGTTTATTTGAAGTCAACTTTTCAATAAATGATAAATAAATCCATCTTTCATTTTTAGTTTGTTTGTTAAGATTTCTTTTTCAAAATCAGATTTTATAAAGTAATGCAATGGTGAGAGTAATTAATCAATGTATGAAGTAATTACAATGAACATTAATTACTTATTAGTTTTCCTAGATTAATTAACTATTAAAGATATAATAGGAAGAATATTATAATTTATGTATCGATTTTAAGAAATGACAAGTATTATGGACCAACTATTTATAGTATTAATGACATATAAAAAGGAACGAAAGGAGTATAATATTTCAAAATATTTGTCATGATTTTTAAAAAATACTTATCTCAAATTATTTAAAGAAAATGGTTAAAAATTCCTCTCTAGTTTCATTAGTTAACGTTGTGCTTCTTTATTTTTATCCCTTCCGTCAATGAACTTAATATGACAAGGTGAGAGAATTTTTTTATTTTAATAATCCATATGTCATCTTTTAATTGAATGATATACATTAATTTAAGTGAGAAGTACTGGAAATATTTTTAAACTCGGTGTGAATTATTAATTTTATCTTTGATCTATAGACAGTCTTAGAAACACTTCTCTATTTGACTAACTAAACTTAAATACATTCCCGATATAATGAGTGAAATACACCCCTAATTTCTTGTCATGTTTAAGAGTGTTTTCAACACTTTCTCTACTTTTTTTATTAAGAGTCCCATGCTCCTACGAGAGTTTGAGATCACATGCTATTCATGTGACAAATTAGGGTATATCTAAGTTTAGTTAATCAAATAGAGGGGTATTTTTAAGACCATCAATAATTCAAAAATAAAACTAATAATTTACACCAAATTTAGAGGTGATTTTCAATACTTTTCTCCTAATTATATTATATTTAGATATTATTACAAAATACGTCTTTATTAGTTGAAGTTCTATTCTTTTTCCTTTTCTTCTCAGTGTTTTTTTCTTTTCTTTTTCCAGTGGTCCTTCTTGTTTTTTCACATTTAGCAAGAAAATTAGTGGAGTTACTTTATAATTAAGTCCGATGCAAAATTATGATTTTAATTTTATGAATTTTAAATGTTACAACAACAAGTTTAAGTGATAATTATTAAGTTTAAAACTTAATAGTATTATATATTTAATAAATTTATTAATATAAATATATTATTTAAGCAAAATTTATTAAGTTTGAACGAACTCACGTGTCATTACTAGCTCCACAATTTTTTATTTTTACAATGCTAGATAATTTTAATTATTCCATCTATCAAAGTACTTTATAATGGGGTCAAATATACCTCCTTCTTTTTGAAAGAAAAGTAGTCGATAGTACTTATTAGTCTTTTTATTTTTATTTTTATATGATTGAATTTTTCTACTTGAGAGTTTTAAATTAATTTGTACTGTCACCGTTGCATCAATAAAAGTGAAGTACGGACATCACATAAAGGGAAATTTGAAAAAATCAAATCTAAATTTTATTTTGGGTGTAAATAAAAAGTGGGCTATAACTATTGTAATTAAAGCATAATTTTCCTTAATTCTAATCAAATTAACCAAAATATGATCCATTCCTAGTTAATTTTTGAACATAAATTACATTAAAATATAATTCAATATTTAAATATCCAAATTATGTATGTCCCAATTTACGTGACAATTTAAATTTAACTTAAAATTTGGGTATGAAATTTTCACAATAATTAATAATTAATAATATTTTAAAGATATGAAAAAATCTATAATAAAAAATAGACTTCATCGAAATTCAAAATCTGAAATGTGTCACATAAATAAATTGAGATGGAGAGAGTAGAAGTCAATTAACTAGCTATATATAAGTCAATTATTTAGCTATTATTACTATTGTTAGTGTGGAAGAAAAAACTTGGACACCAAGATTGCTACAGTGCAGTTAACATGGTTATCTCACTTTATTTCACAATAATTTCTTATTAGTAGTACTTTTGATGTAATGGTGGGGTCTTGTGTTTTTGCAAGTTGCAAGTCTTCATCGATATGAATTAAATTATAGTAGGATGATTGAGATTTTTTCATTATTAATCAGAGATTTTGAAGTTTTTATTTCGAGAATATAATTCTTTTTGTAATTGAAACTGTCATTTATAAAAATAGGTTCTGCTTTGTGCAAATTTAAATTCATCTAGCTCGCAAATAATACACTCTAACGAATTTAGAAGCAAAAATATAAGACACATGAATTTGTGGTCTCTTCATAAAACATTAGCAAAACATAGTTATATATCATTAATAACCCATAGGCAATTAAAGTCACAAAAGACTTGCAAAAAAAAAAAAAAACATAAGACCACACTAAAACATGTACCAATAACTAACAAGAGATTTACTTAAAGTTCTAAGAAAACCATTAACCTTTTTCATAGAATATAATGGTAATTAGAGTCCTAATCAGTGTAATAATCAGATTCATAATCAGGACAGCCAAATCCAGGTTATACTGCATGAGCACGAACTATCTTAGCATAGTAATCCCAATGATTATGAGAATTTGTTATCGCAGATTGTCCAAATAAATGTCCATTAACGTAAATTAGAACAACATCAACAAGTCCTTCTAGAAACCCTTGCATTTCGTCATTCGGACATATCAAAAAAATAATTAAATATACAAGATATATATTTACGTTATTTTCTAGGTTTTATCGTATCATGTTTGATGGAAAGAGCTGGTATGTATTACTATAGTTCAACATCAACTAGTTACTAGAAGGTATGTACTTACACAAAAAATGACTATTTATTTATTCTTTGAGAAAGTACGTACTTACGCGCAAAATCTAATACACTAACTCAGCCACCTTTACTGATACAAAATTGAAATTCGATTATAGTCATGAATATCAAAGATAAGTTAGTTACCTAGAAATGTGTCTCCCCTATTTTTAACTTTGTAGGTAAGTGGGAAAATAGCAGTATTAGGCTGCAAATATAAAAAAAATAGTAATTAGTCTCACTAATCATCTTGTTAATCAATAAATTAATGCAAAATAATTTAAAACTTACAGGGTTTAGCAGAGAAACATAAGGTTCATCATCAATTAAGGAGCCTTTTCGATTTTCGAGGAGCAACAGTTTATCAAGGGGTCGGATGGCTTTTCTTTTACTCTTTGTCTCAAATTATCTATCTTGTTTTTCTTTTACACGTTTAATTATTAAAGATTTAGACAGTCTTACCTTTTATTAAGATTTCATGAAATATATTGTTATAATATATACCCTTTGTTAAAATATAATTTGTATTCATTAATTAAAATATTTATCTGTTTATGTGTCATCACTCCATATAGAATTGAAGATTTTAGTAGACTTTTAAGAACAATTCCTACTAAAAGTGAAAAGGGAGACCAACAATTAATTGTATCTTTGACTTTTAAAATAAAAATAAAAATTTGATAGTATTATCTTAATAAACCACGATAAATAATTTGAAACAAGCATAACATACAAATTAACTAAAAGCACTCAATGAATAGAATATATAATCGTACTCTCATTCTTTTATATTACTTGTCCCGTTTTGAAATGTCATACTTTTTAATAAAACTTTAATCAAAGGTCTTTTTACCAAATTATCTAACCTTATATTATTAAAAGAAAATTAAATTGGGAGTAGGGGGAGGGGAATTGGAGGAGGTAGACTGTTAGGTGGAAAATCAAATTCTCACCAATAAAGTAAAAGTTTATGTAGTAGACAACCAACTGAATTGCTAAAAATATTCTTTAAATTTTATTAGTGATATTTTGAAATACTAATTATCTAATACAAATGATAGTAACGGAAAAATATAGCAAAACTCTTTTGATTTATTAAAATGAACAAGTAAAATGAAACGAAGGGGTATTTAATAAATAGGGATAAGGGTCTGAAAAATACCCCAACTTTGGTCGGATTTACTGTTGCGATACTAAACTTTCATAAGGACCTATTACCTCCCTAGACTATTTAATACCGTATTTTTTACCCGCTGAACTATTTAATAGTGTATTTTAAAGGTATATATGTGTCCACGTGGACACATTACTATTTAAAATTTTGCATTACTTTTTATGTCCACGTGGACAAATATATATGTTTTAAAAATACGGTATTAAATAGTCTAGGGAGGTAATATGTCCTCATGAAAGTTTAGTATCGCAACAGCAAATCCGATCAAAATTAAGATATTTTTCAAATCCATATCCCTAATAAATATAAAACATAGGAAAAAGCATAAAAGACCATTAACAATATGAACATAGATGATAGAAACATTATCAAAACATAGTAATATCATTAACAACCCATAGACAAATAAAGTCCCAAAAGACTTGCAACATGCAAAAAAACACTAGACCACACCAAAACATCATAAGTACACAATTACGAAGAAAAGATTTACTTAATGTTCTGGGAAAAACCATTAACCTTCTTCATAGAACATAATACTAGTAATTAAAATCCTTAATCAGAGTACTCAGATTCGTAATCAGAACAACCAAAGCTAGGATCTTCCGCAGCTCGAATTATCTTAGCATAATAATCTCAATCCTTATGAATATTTGTTATCGTAGGTTCTCCAAATTGATGTCCTTTAACGTACGTTGGAACATCATCAGCATCAACTAGTCCCTCCAAAAACTCACGCATTTCACCCTTAGAATCTAACAAAAAAAATGAAAACAATAATTTTTTATCGAGTTATCATATCAGGCTTGATAGAAACAATCTTTACATATCATTATAGGCCAAACTTTATCATCAGTGCATAAAACTTAAAATTTTGAACCTGAACCTAGTTATTATATAGAAATTAATTTTTTTTTGAGCTAGGTAAATCCGCTAATGTACAACAACTCATTAGAATTAGATCCCTGAAGTCAATTATCAGACACCACATATTGCACTAACTCAACCAGATACAAAATTGAAATTCGATTAGCTATGAATATCAAGGACAAGTTTGTTACCTAGAAATGTGTCTCTCTTATTATTAACTTTGTAAGCAGGAGGAAAAACAGCAGTATTAGGCTGCAAATCAAACAACAATTAACAATTAGTCTCACGAATCATCTTGTTAATTAATAAATTAATGAAAAATAATTAAAACTTACAGGGTTTAGTAGAGCAACATGGGGTTCATCATCAATTAAAAGTGTGTTATATTCTGAAAATCTTCCACCATAATAATTATTTTCCCATATTTTCTTCAATTGCTTCAAAAATATTGGCTTATTTTGCTTCTCCACAGTTGGAAAACCACTATCAATACATTTTTCTTGATCCTAAAAAAAAAATAAAAAAAAATCAAGAATAATACAATTTTAATTTAATTAATTAAACTAAATTAAATAAAAAATGGCTTACCCATACAAATACCAATTTTTTTCGATGGCCAAGCATGAGGTTGTCTAAAATTGGCTCCACATTTCGACTTATCATATGGACAAAAGAAAAGTTAAAAAGTAACAATGATTAGATTAATTAATTAAAACACAAATTAAAAACAATAAAATTATATTAATTTAATTAATACTAACTCCATAGCAGAGGACCATAGTCCAACTTCAAATCTTTCAAGGCAAAACTTCATAAATTGATCACAATAAGGTCTCTTGAAGACTGTTTTAATACAAAAAACATAACAAAAAAAAATAAAAAAATAATTATGTTTAACTTATAACATAATAAAAAAAATTAAACTTTGTGATTTGAAACATATCATCGACATTTTTATGCCTAATAAAAAATAAAAACTTAACAAAATGCCTCGGGTTCAAATTTGGGATAGAAAACAATCCATGGATCTTGAACAACGTGACTCAAAACAACATCAGATCAGAAATAATAAAATTTAATTTTTCATTTTGATCCAAATACGATTACTAAACATCGGATCAGAAATAACAAAAACATATGCACATGTAAACATACAAACCTAGGAAATTGCCGTGAGCAAGGTCCGGGGTATATCTCCGCACCGAAGACTCGTTGCGGCGATGCACCCTATCGACTAGTAGCCCACCAAGATTAAGCACAAGAAGTTTTTTTTAGGACAAAGGTTAAATTTCTCTAAAGGAAGGTCCAATTCTAATTTTTTAGTTACTTTTTCATCTTCATAATCACTATTATCATTATCAGAATCAACCACAACATTTTTCAACTTTAGATTTCTTGCCATACTTGAAATTAATTAGAAGAAAGTTTTATAGATAAAAGACTACTTTGAGAAAACTATGGTGATCCTATATATATAGTGGGATTTAAAAAAAAAGGTCTATTAATTAATGGTAAAAAAAAACCTTAAAATTATGTATAATTAAAAGATGGGAATATTGTACATAATGGCAAACTATTAATTTAAATTAAATGGTATAACCATACTTTGATTTAATTGTGCCCTATAGCAAATTGTTTGCTAGCCGCCTCTCTCCCTCAAACTCTCGCTCGCCACTCTCCCTCTCTCGCTCGCTCTCTCTGTCACTCGCCTCTCTCGCTTTATACAACAGAAATGTATAAATTGTGTTTCTGTTTGTATAAAGCGAGAGAAAATTGTATATGCACATGCAAATACATATATATTCGTCTTATACACTTATAATTATACAATAAAAATATTTCCCTGCCCAGTTCTCTTTTGCCTTTCTCTCTTTCTCGTTTTATACAAACACAGATTATACAAATATAATGTATAATTTATGTTTGTATAAAGCGAAAGAGAGCGATTTTTGATATACAAATATTTTTGTCAACGATTTATACAAACGAGAGGTTAACAACAATTTATACAAATAGCTTGCCAGCAAAATTATATAAATCTGAAGAGGAGCGAACGAATTATACAATTATTTTTTTTGTGTATATATATATATAGCAAAATAGACATAATTTTCAATTGTATATGTATAGTGAATTATACATATATTTCGTTGTTTGTGGAACCATCTTTAGTAGAGGACTGTCCTGATATGAAGAAGAGGATGATGACAATTATGTTTCCAAGAACAAAGACGAATCGAGGACTAATGAGGGTGACACCAAGTCCCTTGAAACAATCCTTCGAGAGATTGAAATTGAGTGGCAATTGAGTGGAAAATCTTGAGATTATGGCGAAAAATATGCAGAATTCGATGAAACGGAACAAAGTTGTGACTCTTTGACGCTTCTTGTACCTTAGCATAGCATAGCATAGCAAAATTATACAAATCTGAAGAGGAGTCAATGAATTATACAATTGCTTCTTTTTTGTATATATGTATAGCGAAATAGACGTTTTCAATTGTATATGTATAGCGAATTATACATATATATATGTTTGCTATGGAGCGCAATTATGCAAACTTTGCTATAGTATACAAATATGATTTTTTTTGTTTGCTATATGTGAAAGTTGCTCTTAAAAGATAGTGCCTTTCCACTTTCCAAGCAAAATTTTTGGTAAGTTGTACTCTCATTTAATCTATAAGTAAAATTAAATGTTGACTCAGTTGTTTAGCGAGTTTAAATTTGTCGTAAAGTTTTAAATTTAAATTTCAAATAATACATTTTATTTTGATAATACTAGCATTAACGCATCAAATTTCACTAGAACTCCAAAGTTATGTATGCTTAAGTTGGGTCAGTGACCTCAAAAAGTTCTCGTGTTGCATTCCTCCTTTATATCCTCCCGAATAAGGTCCAGATATTTTTTCATGAACCGAGGGTTCAAAAATAGTTTGTTTATCTCTTAAGTGAAAGTACACTAAGAACATTCTACTCTGTCCAAATTCATTTTGTGGGAAATAAAATTATATCGAGTATTTTATTAATGTTAGTACAAATCAAGTAAAGAAAGATTAACTTATCGACCATGGTTTCCAGAAAATAGTTATCATAAATTATTTATTATTTTAGAAATTTGAAATAAAAATAATTATTTTTATCTATTTTATTCTAAATAATTTTTTTCTTGAAAACTACAAATTCCTTAATTATGAGGCGATATTACTTATGTTCAAGTACCAACAAAGCTTAGGTCAACATTGTTATCTTAAACATACTTGATACTTCATCATGTTTTTACACAAATGCAATTTTAATTACAGTTGTACATTCAACACAACATTTTGAATGGGAGTAACTAAAATAAAAAAATTCAACATAACATGTTGAAGTGTTGTTCTGTATATGTATTCATTCTTCAAGTTGCTAATTTAGTTTATTCCTAAAGGCTTAGATTCATTATTGATTGGGAATAAGTTATTAAAAAATATATTAAATATATTTTTTTTTAATTTTTCACCCGATATTCGATATCCATATTAGAGCTCGATTATATTTGAATTTGTGCTGAAAAGTCCCACATTGATAATAAGGCACTGCTCTATATCAAATGACACTTCATATCCAGAAAAACTCGAATCCAAAATCTCTGAGTAATTACTACTCCATTCCAACTTTGATTGGTTACTAAATAATTCATCATTAGACAACAAAATAGAATATAACAACTGTCATTAAACTTGCATATAAAATTATCTTTCTTGTTTTTTTACATTTAAAATTAGTGGAGTTGGAGACTTGGAGTCACATAAAGAAAATTAGTGGCGTTCACTTTCACATACAACTCTTACTTGTTTTTACATGCTAGAGAATTTTAATTATTGCATCTAGCAAAAGTTACTTTATAATGGAGTCATATATATAATTTTTAAATGAAAAGTGGTTGATAGAGCAATTTATTTAAATAATTGAAAATACTAGTCATCTTTTCTTTTTTGATTGACTGCATTTTTTACTACTTGAGTGTTTTGATTTAATTACACTGTCACCGTCGCGATGATAAATTGGGAGTCTTAATTAAAAAATTTACGATGATAAATTGAGTGTCTTAATTAAAACTTTTGAAACGATTGATAAATTAAGTGCGCAACAAATAAAGTTATTTTTCTATTAATTAAATATTTTGAATTTTAAGCTTTAGCTATAAATTCTTAATAAATATAATCAACAAAAAAAATAAAAAATACAAGTGAGTTAGGGAATGATGAATCCATCAGATAGCGAGTTAATAACTTAGATGGTCACTCAACTTTCATTTTCAACTCAAATGTCTCTCAACTATGACTTATTTGCACATAAAGTCACTCGACCTATTTAATTGTTTTTTTCATTAAAATTCGCTGACATGGAATTTTAATTATTAACCAAAATTTGAAGAACCAAATATATATCCATTTAAACCATTTAATGACCCGCCTCATTTAACCTGCCACGCTACAAATATAATATTAAACTATTTTTTTAATACGCCAGTTTTATTGATATATGGCTCATACAATTTGGACAGCAACTACTTCAATTTATCAACCTCTCTATTTTATTTTATTTAAGTTTTCATAACCTCTCTGTTCTCTCTTAGCATCAAATTATTGTCTACCCAACTTCACAATCTTGATATATTATTGATATGTGAAGAAGAAGTTGAAATTGAGAAATTAAAAAGGAAAAGAAAAGAGAACGAAGAATTAGGGAAAGAATGGAGGAGACAAGGGAAAATAATGGTAAAATAAAAAGTTTAATATTATATTTATAGCGGGTCGGGTTAAATGGGAGGGGTCATTAAATGGTTTAAATGGATATATATTTGATTCTTAAAATTTTGGTTAATAATTAAAATTCCATGTCAGCAAATTTTAATAAAAAAATAGGTTAAGTGACTTTCTGTACAAAGAAGTCATAGTTGAGTGACTTTCTGTGAAAAGAATTGATAGTTAAGTGACCATCAAAGTTATTAACTCATTAGATAGCATAAGGACAAATATTGAATAAGTAACATTAACTCGATGACGATGTGCAATTTAAATAATGATGGTCTTTTTATGTTTATTTATGCAAATATTATCCTATTTTATATTTTATATTTTATATAGATAAAAAAAATGAGATAATATTTTATGATCACTAGGATTTTTATCTCAGAATGTTTCTAAATTCAGGTTATTAAGTCAAAAATTACTGAACCATAAGTGTTTTACTTACAAATTATTCAATTTATTTAATTAATATTTTCATTAAAATATACTAACATGGTTTTCATTAAAATACACTAACATAATTCAATTTATTTGATTACTGTCAATGATCACTTTTTTTCTATTAAAATATTATTAGTTGCGCATTATTTTATCTCTCTCTATATATATATATATATATATATATTTATTAAATGTCTTCGTGTAATTCGTCATTTTAATACGTTATTGACGAGTGTATTACGCACTTTGTATAATTATAATTTTTTTTTTTGTCAAAATGACATAGTACAATCTACCGAAAATGAATAAAATCTATTTAAATTATCTAAATAAAACTTCAGTTCTTTTTTTATTTGTCTCTACAATTATCCAGAGTTTTTCCAGAAAGCTCTCATGTAAGGTTCCTAGCAGAACATTCTAGTTTTTCCAGCACCTTCTAAATTCTAATCAACACAATATTATAAATACCTAATTTAACCTTCCACTCTCTTCATCTTCACTGGAAAAAAAAAAACTTCAATCTACTAACCAAAATCAAATTCTCCAAAAACTTCAATCAATTCAACAAAAGCAAAAAAATGAAGCCAGTGGTAGAGGAAACGACCAATGGCAAAGTTACAATCAAAACAGAGTGCAGAGCAAACGAAGAAGGACGGAAACACATAGAAAAACTCGAACTCGATACTAAAAACGTCGATACTGTTAAGTACGTTGAGAAAAAGTTGACGGAAAAAGGGGTGCAGAGATTGGAACGGCATCCATCGGACGGGTTGCCGTTAAAGCATGATCCGAAGAAGGGATACGGAGGTAAGTATACGTGGGAAGGGCCTGATAAGGATAAGGAATTGGATATGGTGGTGCCGCCGGCGTTGGATGAGAAAGATCCGAATTATGTGAATGAAGAAGAAACAGAGGAAGAAGAAGGAGGAGTTATTGTGGGTGAAATTGAAGTAGCAAAATTGGCTGAAGAAGGTGTTGCTAGAATTGAAGTTGATCCTAATTTGAAAATTGATTAATCATTGTTGAGATTTGGGGGAAAAAAATGTTCAATTTGTGTGATTTGTGTTTGTTAATTACTTGTATTTAGATGATAATGGTGATGTAATAAATAAGTGAAGTTTTTCTGGTAAAATTCATACCTAATTAGTCTTTTTTTCAGCTTGAGTAACAAATTTCACTAACTGAATTTTCGAGCTCACCATATTATAATAATATGATACGTAAATAGATGTTTTAATTTTGAGAATGCGCATTTAAATTATATATTTTTAATAATTCATTAAATAATTAAATTTTGAAGCGATTAATGTCAATTATATAATTGACTAAACAATTGAATTTTGTCTTCAAAGTTTAAGTGTTCACTCAAAGAGCAAGTAAAAACTAGTAATACATAAAATAATATAATGGATCTTATTTATGAATCTTTTTAATTAACTGAATGTTCTAAATAAAGGTTTAATACTTTATTATTGTTAACTTCTTTTGGCTACAATTTATATCCCATTCGTGTTTTACAGCTTAATATGTTGACAAAAAAGGCCTATTGTCCACTTACCATTGGACTGGACTAGAGTTTCATAGGCCTTCTGGAGAAAAGAAAAAAAGAAGAAGTGAAAAGCCAATCCAATATAAGTTGGGTCATTTAAACTTTTTATAAAAAAAAATAAATATATTAAAATGAACATGAAAAATTCAATAAAATAAAATATTAATTTATTGATAAGACTGACTGTGTAAACCAGTGTTTTAAAAGGCGGGGTGTGAGGCGAGACGTTCTTACTTAATGTAGGGCGAGGTGTAAGTCTCGAGACGTAGGGCGTAAGCCCTACGAATCTTTAAATTTTTAATTTACAATATAATATAATAATATAATAACACAAAATTATAAAAATAAATCAATAGTTTGAGATAATTATAAACATGATTAAGGAAACTCATAGAAAATAAAACTTCTAACATGATTATACTAGTATAAATAATTAATATCTTAACTTTCTAATAATAGAAGAATCATTATTTCTAAAAACATTTTTTATTATACTATACAATTTACCCCCCTAAAAGAAAATAATCAATAAAACTTATTACTATTATAATAAAAACATCACTCTATCATGAATAAAAATCAAACTAGTTTCAAATAGCTAAATAAAATGTGATAATTTTGAGACATATGACAAAACTATAAAGACCAATGATAAGTGAAAAAGTAAAATTTCGCTCTGTATTTTTAAAAGAAATGTTACGTACTAAATAATTACCTGCACAATGTTACCAAATAGTAAAGATACGATACTACAACTTGTTATTTGAGTTACTCTCAATCTTCTTATCTCTATAGATTAAAAAATTATTAAGTATCATTCATTTATTCAAAAATTACGAGGGTCAACAATGTTAACTAAAGATTTTAATACATAATTTGTGTAAAATCTATTCGGCAAGCCCCGACCGTTGGGGGTGCTTAGGGCGTACAATCGGACGCTTCGGGAGAAAGTCTTACAGAACTAAGTCCCACAGTTGAGTTTCGGAGCGTTTTGCTAGAGTCCCGCCCTAGGACGAGTCCCAACAGAATTTTCTAAAACACTGGTGTAATTTTTTTTTGTTATATATGCTATTTACAGCTTTCTGACAAAAAAAATTAAGACTGATTGAGTTAATGTAGTAGACGATATTTAAGTGAAGAGTTAAAACCTTTTGCATCGAGTTCATCGCATCAAATATATCAACTAATCTCTTCGTCCAACAATAGTTGCTCAACAATATTTATCCAACTTAGAAAATTAAGAGATAGCTTAATTTTTGTATTTATTTTATATTTATTATTAAATATTATTTATCTTCTAACACATTTTTCAAAGCATTACATTTAATAAAATTGAAGAATAAAATAATAATATTACCTCTATCATTTATTGTTTCTTAAGAGTTAAAAGGGTGTAACACGTTAATTGTAGACAACTATCATCAGATAGAAATAGTACAATTTAAATTTTTTTTATATAATTTTCTGTACAAAAAGAAATAAGAATAACGACTACAAATTTAATTCTAATAGGTACCAAAAAAATAAAAAAAACTTTAATTCTTAGTATTATCCCAAATCTCATCACCATATATATTTTAGTTACTTTATTTTATTTTTTAAAAGTAAAGGTGTGTCTATACACCAAACATAACAAGTGGCAGATTTTCTTAAATTTCCTCATCATGCTACACGTGACACACTCCCACCGCCTCCCATCTCGATATATATACACACATAATTCATTTAAAATTTTTCAAATTAAAAAAAATCAATCACCAAAAAAAAAAAAAAAAAAAAAA